TTTACATCGTGGTGACCAAAACTGGATGCAGTATTCCAAGTGTGGCCTTACCAAGGCCTTGTAAAGTGGTATTAATACTTCACGTGATCTTGATTCTCTCCCTCTGTTCATGCAGCCTAGCACTGTGTTGGCTTTTTTTAGTAGCTGCAGCACACGGTTGGCTCCTATTTAAGTGATTGAGCCCCAAAATTTCTGTTGCTAAGTGAGACAGTTTTTAAGTGAATTTTGCCCCGTTTAGAGACCTGCCTTGCCACAGTTGTTAAGTGAAGCACTGCAAATTGTTAAGTTAGTCACGCGGTTGTTTAGTGAGTCTGGCTTCCCGATTGACTTTGCTTGCCGGAAGGTCGGAAAAAGGGGATCATACGACCCCGGGACAATGCAACCGTCATAAAGAGGAACCAGTTGCCAAGTCTCCAAATTTGGATTACGTGGCGGGGAGGATGCTGCAACGGTCGTAATTGTGAAACGTGGCCGTAAGTCACTTTTTTCCGTGCCGTTGTAACTTCAAATGGCTACTGAATGAGCAGTTGTAAGTCAAGGACCATCTGTGGTCAAACCATCCACTTGATGGGCTGTGTATCACTCTAGGGACCCCAGGCCCACTGGCAAAACCATGTCTTCCGGGCCTTTCAAGTATCAAGGTGGGACCAATCTTATCTCTGCAGGGTTGATGTTCCCTGCAGAGAGGGAGAGAGTCAACACAGGGTTGGGCCATCTTCCTGGTCCTGCCAGGTGGACCTCCTTAACACAGGGGACCCATAGCATCCTATTTCCAATCTTACCTCCACGGGGATGGGGCCAACACAGCAGACCCTTCTTCTTGGTCCCACGAGGTGGACCTTCTGAAGATAGGGGACCCATAACAGCCCCTGTCTCCCCACTTTAGTGGGTTGGGGAGATCTAGCTGTGAAAAAAATGGTCCTTCAAATAAGCTGTGCCCAGACCAGGTAGAGCTTTTAACAGCAATAATCAGCCCCTTGAACTAGACCTGGAAGCAAATTGGTAGCCAATGCAGCTCCCGCAAGAGATGTGACCTGTGTTCAAATCTAGACTTGCATAGAACCATGCAGGCTGTCAGATTTTGCACCAAATGAAGACCCCCCCCCCTTGGTGGAGTCTTGAGTAAGTTTATAAAAAAAAATTGAACAGGAGCCTTGACCTTACTTAGGATGTTAAATTGAAGCAGGAACCAATTTTAGGGTCACCTTCCAATCAAAAAGGAGTTATCCAGAAGGCTTGCCCCACACTTTTTTTTTTTTTCCTCCTCACTAAACGCCGCCTGGAAAAATCCCTTGGTAGAAATTCCTGGCACCGGTACCTGGGCATTTATAAATCTTTTGAAAAGTATTTACTTCTCCAAAGAACTCGGATCGATAGCCGAGCTTTTTAATAATTAAAAACGTGTATTTCTGTAATCGCCTATCGATTTCTCCATTTAGTCTGCGACGGCTTTGCAGAAGTCAGTAAATTTGGGACCTTTCAGTTGCAAGGGGCAGCGGGGGTTGGCTTTAGTTATGACTGGTCGCTTTGCCAGCCAGAACATTTTTTTCTAATTTATTTATTGGTGGAACGTTGTTGACAGGAGTGGCTTCAGAACAGATCGTTCTGGGGCTTGAAATGAAGATAAACCATTGGTGTGATTATCTGGCCACTTTTGCTTGTGAGAAGGTCGCTAAAGGAGATCACATGATCCTAGGACATTGTAACCGTCATAAATATGAGGCAGTTGCCACGTGTCCAAATTTTGATCGCATGACTGTAGGGGTGGTGCTGCGGTCATAAGTATGAAAAACAGTCATAGGTCAGGGCCTGTAAATTGAGGACTGTCTATATACAAACTTGCAGGCAGATAAATTGAACAAGCATTAGCTCAAAGGTATTCCACTTTTGCAAGGGTATTTTGAAAAGCCTTTTCCTTCCTTCCTTCCTTCCTTCCTTCCTTCCTTCCTTCCTTCCTTCCTTCCTTCCTTCCTTCCTTCCTTCCTTCCTTCCTTCCTTCCTTCCTTCCTTCCTTCCTTCCTTCCTTCCTTCCTTGAGTAAAAGAGTTGGAAGGGATCTTGGAGGTCTTCTAGCCCAACCCCTGCTCAAACAGGAGACTCTACCATTTCAGTCAAACGGCTGTCCTGTCTCTTCTTAAAAACTCCAGTGATGGAGCATCCACAACTTCTGGTGGCAGGCTGTTCCACTGGTCAATTGTTCTCACCGTCAGAAAATTCCTTCCTTCCTTCCTTCCTTCCTTCCTTCCTTCCTTCCTTCCTTCCTTCCTTCCTTCCTTCCTTCCTTTCCTCCCTCCCTCCCTCCCTCCCTCCCTCCCTCTCTTTCATTCATTCATTCATTCATTCATCTCTATGTTATGTTAACTTTGGATGTCTTCCACTTCAATCTGCAGAATTGAATGAGAAATTTGTTTATTCTCTAAAACGTCTGCAAAGCTAAACACGTTACACCTCGCTTGCCTAGTCTCGTAATAGATAAGAACCCCCCCCCCCTTTCCCATATATTTCCAATCCAGTGACATTTACAGCGATGGGTTTCGGCTCTCAAACGACGTGTGAATTTAGTGTCATCGTAAACCGGGACTCAGTTCTTGACATCCTTTTTCTCTCTCTCTCATCTCAATTCTGGTGATATTTGTCTCAATCTTGGATTTTCTCTTTGGTATTTTGGATTTAGGCGTGTGCACTCACACACACACACCATGTGTAAATCTAAATGAAGAGAGGGGAAATGTTTGGGAGAAAGAAAGGAACTTCTAAACAAATCTAAAAGAGGGGTGTACTGAGATAAGGACTTTGTGTGTGAGATAGACACCCTAATGCTTCTGCGCTTTTTGATCGCCTTGCTCCACAGAGGCATATTTAGATGTTGGAATTTACTGGGGCTCAGCTCTGTGTGTAGAGCTTGTCAGCAGCATTTGGACTGTGCCTGCCTAGGATTTTACTCAAAAGCAGTAGCAGCAGAGATAAATCCACTTTTTGGGGCTAGCCTTGATAAGGCAGCTGACACCAAGGAACCTGCCCGTTCTCTTCTCTACAATGTTGGGTTGATGTCTCCTGTCTGCTCCCCTCCCTTAGCTTCCCTCCCTTAGCATTCCTCAGTCAATCCTTGGATTCATGGTATCTGTGAATCGAAAGAGGCTTATGTGGGGCATTGGGTGGATTAATTGGGTATGTCTAGTCTAATGAAGAGAAGGACGAGGGGGGACAGAATAGCCGTGTTCCAGTATCTCAGGGGCTGCCCCAAAGAAGAGGGAGTCAAGCTGTTCTCCAAAGCGCCTGAAGGCAGGACAAGAAGCAACGGGTGGAAACTCATCAAGGAGAGAAGCAACCTAGAACTAAGGAGAAACTTCCTGACAGTGAGGACAATTAACCAGTGGAACTGCTTGCCTCCAGAAGTTGTGGGTGCTCCAAAACTGGAAGTTTTTTTTAAAAAGAGATTGGACAACCATTTGTCTGAAATGGTATAGGATTTCCTGCCCGAGCAGGGGGTTGGACTAGAAGGCCTCCAAGGTCCCTTTCAAGTCTGTTTGTCAAACAGGACAGCCTGTTTGCTGTGTTGAGACAGGAATATTTGGGGATAGAGCAGGGGTAGGCAACCTTGGCTCTTTGATGACTGGTGGACTTCAACTCCCAGAATTCCTGAGCCAGCCATGCTGAGGGGAAAGGGAGAGGTTTCCAAGCTGAGCCATGCTGGCTCAGGAATTCTGGGAGTTTAAGTCCTCAAGTCATCAAAGAGCCAAGGTTGCCTACCCCTGCCTTAGGGGGTGATGATGGCGATCAGATTGCAATGGTATCTGCTCAAACAAATCCAACCAATCTGGGGGAGGCAGCCCTTCAAATAACCCAGTCTCAAACCAGGAAGGGCTTTAAACCAAACCCCTTGAATTGAACTTAGAAGCACACAGGCAACCCATGCAGCTCACCCAGTAAAGACATAACACACACCGAATAACAGGCACCATTGACTACCTGTGCTGCTGCCTTCTGCACCAATTGAAGCTTCCAAATGGTCTTCCAGGGCAGCCCCACGTCGAGAGCACTGCAGAGGTCCAGTGGTTTCCATAATCTTATTAGTCACGTTTGGTTGGAAACGTCTCCAGGAGAGATGCAACCTAGAATTACGGACAGCAAGAACAATTAATCAGACGTTGTGGGTGCTCCATCACTGGAGATTTTTAAGAAGAGACCGGACAGCCACTTGTCTGAAATGGTAGAGGGTCTCCTGCTTGAGCAGGGGGTTGGACTAGAAGGCCTCCAAGGTCCCTTTCAAGTCTGTTATTCAGAAGGGAAGGGAAGGGAAGGGAAGGGAAGGGAAGGAAGGAAGGAAGGAAGGAAGGAAGGAAGGGCAAAGGGGAGGGTGGGAATCACAGCCAAGGGTTAAGGTTAGGGTTGAAGGGAGCGGAATCCCATCTTCAGAAGGCAGCACCAGCTTGATTTCCCTTCATCCAAATTTCTAGTCCTTAAGATTTTCTAATTGAGAAATAGAAATGTTGGATCCTGAACAAGTAGGTTACAGAAAGAGAGAGAGGAGAGAGAGAGAGAAAGGGAGGGAGGGAGGAAGGAAGGAAGGGAATTTCCTGACCATGATAACAATTAACCAGTGGAACCGCCTGCCTCCAGAAGTTGTGGGTGCTCCATCGCTGGAGGTTTTCAATTAGAGACTGGACAGCCACTTGTCTGAAATGGTAGAGGGTCTCCTGCTTGAGCAGGGGGTTGGACTAGAAGACCTCCGAGGTCCCTTCAAACTCTGTCATTCTGTATTCTGCTAAGATATGTAGAAAATATGGAAGATACATGAAGCGCTCCTTGAGCGCCAGCACTGGACTCGCCTGTATGTCTGTGTGCGGAGATAATTTGGTTATAAAGTGAATTTCTCTCGTATAAGTTGCACGCCGCTCTTTGAAAACAGGGTCACTGAAAACTTAACTTGTTTACCTTCAATCTTGTTCTTGTTGCTTCCTGTCCACTTGGAACATAAATTTCTCCCTTCTCTCTTTTCAGATCACCCAGGAAGCTGGAGAATTCATGATTACTTTCCCTTACGGCTACCATGCGGGCTTCAACCATGGATTCAACTGCGCCGAGTCCACCAATTTTGCCACCCTGCGATGGATCGATTACGGCAAGATGGCCACCCAGGTAAGTTCCTGTCTCTTTTGGGGCCGGTAGTTTTCAGGGCTTGTGCAGAGAATTTAAAAAAAAAAAAAAAATCTGCATTGCAAACCACGGCTTACAAATTGGGACCAGATCTGAGCGCACATGCCCGATCTTTGCTGGGGTTTTTTTTTGTGTGTGAGAGAATCAGCATCACGGAACAAACTTTATTTGATCAGAGTTCTCTCTTCACACCTGCAAATTCTAATTCCCCAATTCTGCTTCCGCTGGGAAAGCAAGCTTAGCCGTGGAGGAGATAATCAGGGAATCCCAGAGGAAAACGTTCAAGTTGACAGGAGAAATAGTGTTTCCCCAGGGCCGGTTTCAAACTGGCAAAACAATTGTTTGCTGGGTGTGTGGATTGTGCTCACTGAGCAGAGAAGGTAATGTCAGGCCTGCCTTCCGTGCCACAGGTTACGCCGACAAAGCTCCGTTCCTCCTGTTGTTAATGAAAGGAAGGTGGAGAAATAATAAGTTGTATCTCTTTGATAGTCTCAAAATAGATCCGGTGTTAGCTCGAGTCGCTTTCTCTTGTTACATAATATTAATTAATGTTTTTTTTCTTTTATTGCCTGGAGATCAAACAGTCCACGGGTTTCTGTCTTTCCTCTCCCTCCCCCTTTCACACAAACGCTTTGAAATAGGCAATTCAGAGAAAAGAGAGAGGGAAAACTCACATTTTAGGCTTCTCACCTCTACATTAACACTCCAAACGCTACAGTACCCAGCCTACTGGCTGAGTCACGGCTGCGATTTCAAGATAGGCGTAACGTTTCAAAATTGAACCAGTTTCAAATATTCGAGTCCCAAAACAAATGCAGAAGGGTCCTGTGTTTCGGTCATTTTGAGTTGCCCAAGACGGAATTGGCGATAGCTTCGATTCAAAAAGTTGCGCGCCCCAACTGTAGTCTATTTTCTAATGTGTGTTTCTGGAAGGCTAGATGTTTGGTCTGCTGTCCCGTGCTTTAGAATGAATTGGCAAGGCTTGTGGAATTTTAGGAAGATATAGGCCACCCTTGACTTACGACCGGTTGCTTGCAACTGTTCAAAGTACCGACGGTCCTGTCATGCCTCCGTCAGAGCCTGATTCTGCGGAGGAAAATGAGCTGGAATGGGACCCTATGGAGGTGGAGGGAGAGGGGTCTGTGGCTTCAGAGGAATGTGGAGAAGAGCAGGCCA